TATATCATATAATGTACGAGTGATGAATCTTCTGCATAAAAGCATCTTTGCATAATTTGACGCTTCTAACAATCCAAACTGTGCCTTAAATTCTGAAACAAACTTTTAGAATAAAACATTCTCATTCTCTTAGAATAAAACAATTGTCAGTTACTTCTTAAAATTATCATGGAGGACCTCTGTAGTTCACTGAAGAGGTGTGTTATTTTGTGTAATTTCACGCCATTCCGTTGCAATAGCCACTATAACATAAGTAAAATCTATAGAGGCGCGTGCTCTTTGTTTGAGTTTTTTTATACTGGTTTAAACAAATCGGAATCTTTTTATATTCTCAGGCGAAATATAACAAAACGTAGCCAAACTCACAACATTTAAAATTAGAAATGTACTTAATCATCTCTAAATCAAATGTGTGATATCAATGATTCGCTTCTTGATACGTATAGTAAATACGTTAATTGTCACCAATATTATTGACTGTCACGTGTGTGGATTATATGTAATAAATATAAAGACAGTTTGCTATTTATCATTAAACATGACATTTTGTTGATATACCATGCCATGTTAGGGAAGATGAGCTATTGATAACACAAAATCGATACACATATTTGAACGTTTTTTCAAGATGCATATATATCCCAAAATACATTGATGGTATCTCTTTTGGTTCTTAGACATCAGAAATTGTTTTCAATATCACAAAATATATTTTAGGTATCATAAAATACCTTTTAGATACTATTAATCAAATTTCTGACAATCAATATTTCATGATATCGATACTTATTTCGTGACATCATAAAATTGGATATCAATCAATTATTATTAATATCGCTATAATAAAATAGAAGATAATATAACGAAGATGTTCGTAAGGAATACGTATAGGCTGTCTGTGTAAAGGTCGCCAAGAAATGTTCAAAATAGAGCAAACGGAGTTTTGTCCCTTGTTCGTTCTGCTCGCCGATCTCGGATTGTCAGAAATTTTTCATGTGCTTTGTCGAGTATAGTTTTTTATTTTTAAATTTGCCTTTTGAATACTTTGCATTGACAGGAATAATGTATACACTTCGAGACGACACACCAAAACTTTTACAAGCTACATGTATATTTGTATCTACTTGGGGTTTTCTGTCTGTTATTTAGTCTGAATATGAATAGTAGGAGATACCATGCCGCAGTTTAGCATGAATGCCCTGCTCAGACACATGAAACTAACTCCGATCCGACCAGTTCTTGTTGTACCCATTAATGCCGAACACCCAGGCAGGGACCAACAAGATTCATAGTTTAACGTCTTTTGGTATGACGCGACCGGGGATCAAACCCGCGACCTTTCACTCTCCAGGAGGTAGCTCTAACCACTACACCACGGAGACGGCCAGTTCTTTGTATGACTTCAGTGATTAACAACAGTTATGTTTGCTGATTTCCCTGTTAGAGTTACGTAATTCACGAAGTGGTCGTCTCGCTGCTACACATGCAGCATGACACTCGTTGTCACACCAGCTGCTGCTGTTAAAGCGCTGACAAACCTACACACAAATTAAACCAAACAGGATTAGAAACAACACTCATTGGCCTTTGGTGTGACCAAAGGAGGCAACTCTATAAGCCGTTCGAGAGCCATGTGTATGGCCCTGACAGACCACATGGAACCCTAGAGTATGTGTATGGCCCTGACGGACCACATGGAACCCTAGAGTATGTGTATGGCCCTGACAGACCACATGGAACCCCAGAGTATGTGTATGGCCCTGACAGACCACATGGAACCCTAGAGTATGTGTATGGCCCTGACAGACCACATGGAACCCTAGAGTATGTGTATGGCCCTGACAGACCACATGGAACCCCAGAGTATGTGTATGGCCCTGACAGACCACATGGAACCCCAGAGTATGTGTATGGCCCTGACAGACCACATGGATCCCCAGAGTATGTGTATGGCCCTGACAGACCACTTGGAACCCCAGAGTATGTGCATGGTCCTGACAGGCCACATGGAACCCCAGAGTATGTGTATGGCAATGACAGACCACATGGATCCCCAGAGTATGTGTATGGCCCTGACAGACCACTTGGAACCCCAGAGTATGTGTATGGTCCTGACAGACTACATGGAACCCTAGAGTATGTGTATGGCCCTGACAGACTACATGGAACCCCAGAGTATGTGTATGGCCCTGACAGACCAAGGATCATAACTAGAGCAAATCCCTGGATCCCCTGGATCCCAGTGTATGTTCGACTTATCTGCTCGCCGTTGCTTTCTATTTCAATGTGCAGTGTAACAGTCTGAGCGGGCAACCACCCTTACATCCTGATCAAAAAGGGGGCACAACTCTACATGGCAACACATCATGTGACATGTCCTGCTTTGTCTTAGCCAAATCCTAGTCTTTGAAAGGAAATTTGAAAAACAACAGAATTGATTTTTTTAGTGGATAACAGCTTCTTTATCTTAAAAAATAATAAATGTTATCCATCAAAACTGTCATGGAAACACTAAACAACCGTAGTTGTGGCTTGTTTATGACCGAAATTGCATCAGTATTACAGGTTTGTGATGGAAGTCTGTATATAATCAACACTTGACGAATGGCTGAACAAAGTCAGTGAACCTGACCACATTATCCCACTAGTCGCTTTATGACAAGCATGGGCTTCTGAGACTCTAACGTGGATCTTCAGGTAACAGCTTCAGAACATTCAACAGATTATTATATACCACAAAAGACACATTTGAATGCCAACCTTTTCCTCCGAGTATTCAAATTACAATGAAAACAACAGTTACTAAAATAAGAATTTATTGAACATTGCCAAAACGTAAAATGGAAAACTCACATTGATGTTCATGTATAATGTATCAGATATGGTAATTATCATTGTGTACAGAGATGAATAATTGAATCCCTGTGTCAGCACAGTACAACAACGTAGCTTGTGTGAATGGCCTACTAAGCTTAGTATTAAATCTAACCCTTTTCCTTACTTGTCAGATCAGTTTGCTTTATATAACAACGAAACAAACAATTACTGCACTCCAGCTTACATTTTCCCATTGAAAGCTTTTCTCTAGTTTCTTGCCCCTGGAAATAAACATTGTTGTGTCGGTTCATGCACAACTTTCAAACAAAGTCAAACAAACAAGCATATGTCACCAGTGCCAGATGGCATTCTGAGAGCAATAGGTAGTTTATCATTGGTGTAAAATGTTAAAGGTCACATGCAACCAAAACATCAAACATAATTAAAACACAATTATCACTTATTCATGACATATAATATACATTGCTTGTTATGAAAAAACATATAAACAATATTATAAGCGTACAATCGCACATCAAAAGTGCAATATTGTGTACTTGGGTTTACTTCCCAAGAAACGAAGCAGCCGGGATAACGAACCCAGTCAGAGCGGGTGGGTGTGCACTCAAGTGTAACGGCTGGTTCATTTGCAGATGCCCTCACGGTTCATTGTGTGTGTGTATATAGAGATGTTGGGTTTTGTAAATACATGCTCATTTTTTGTGTATAACATTTTGCAATCAACAGACATCATAACATGTCATGTGTTCAAGTATCACACCTGCCTGTCTGTGTAATTACATAATGTGACAGAGACCGAACTCGGGCCATAAATCAATGCGTTGTGTTTATGGTGTATAGCCTGATTGGTGTTAAGTTCAAATTGCATGTGGTCAGTGATCGCAGTTGTGTATTGAATATTGTCATTAGCAGACAGGCAGGCAGACACACAGGTGTCAATAAAACAAAACATTGAGTTTTGTTTGTGACAACGACATATCTATATCACAGTTAGAAATTCTGTCAACGCTAAATAATGACCTTTCCTCTAAGTATCGAACTGAGAAAGTGACTCGGTAAGAAGAACGTGTGGTGAAATAGACAAATGAAATTATATAAACAGTTTATTTACTGTCATAACATATAAAAAGCTCGCGCCTGTGAGATATCAACAAAACATTAGGAAAACAGCTCACACCAAAGCCTTCACCGAGTATTCACGGGACAGCCCGCTTCCAAGTTGCGCGAACCTATTTCACTGCGCACGTGCTATGAGCGCAGCCCAGCTGTTGAAACCAGTTTTCCCCGGAAAAGTCGGGGGAAAATTAGTGAATCGTTTGAACTCCGATTTCGCGCGGTCTTTTTTCATCGCGTTATTTTTCAACTTTATAACTTTAATTTGCATTTTTGATGATTTGTTTCGGTAAGTCCATACCGAAAGGTATCAGAATCCGCAAAGTTGTGTTTTACGTTGCATGTGGCCTTTAAGGATTTTGGGCTCTTCCATTAAAAGGTTACAGGTGAAATACCTAATGGTTCCTTGAATACCATCAATACTATAAATGTATATAATCGCATTTAGCGTTAACCGCTAAATTGTGTTATTGTTGGCGTCGCATACTTTGTTTATAAACATGACCTTGGCACGCGCAGCTGCAAACATTACGTCAACAGATGACGTCATCAGTTTCTACGTCATCACACCACGCGACAGATAACGGTGAGTTACCTCACTTCTCGCGTCACCACCGAACTCGCCTGTCGCGCACAGCTATTAACCCGCCCTCCCTCCCCGTGCTCACTTGTTCACGGTATCTGATTGAGTGTACATTGCAGTCTAGGAAATTTAATATGTATACATTGTACCTTTTATTCACTGTTCATGAATTAAAACGTCATGGTGTGTATGGCCTGTTTGAGGTGAGAAGTTCTCAATCGCTATGCTGCTGGTTGTCCGCTTTCACAGCGGAAACCCCATAATCATAATTCCAGCCTGCTTTACAGTAGGTGGAAATTATTCGCTCGCTATGCTCACCTCGTCTGCTTGGTCACAGCGGAGAGGTGATTGTGTAATATGCTCTCGCTGCTACTTCTCACCCCTGTATAGCCATCACACATACTGGCCACTACTTCCCAAAACAAATATGTTCCTTTTCATTTATAACGCTAGTCCAGCAATAACTACTATTTCATATAGATCTGGGTCCAAGCTGTTTCAAAGTGATGAATGTCTGATTGTAGTGTTTTTAAACCTACCAAAGCAAGCATAACAAACAAGCACATTAACAACTAACAATAATCCATTCCTGCAAATGTTGTCCAAGACAAACAAACCACGTCACCAAACAAATAAATGATCTAACAAAAGAGGAGTGAGTTGTGCAACGTGGACCAAGGAAGCCCAAAGTAAGAGTATGCACGAGTACATGTGGAAAGAAGTAAGATATGACAGGGCAGGCACCTCACAAGTGAGCATCACACCAGGCTCTCAGACAATTGTAGCATTGCCCCGCCTGATCGACATTAGCTTTAAATGTATCCTTCAGCCAGGCTTTGAAACGATCCGCATCTTTGCTCAACATCAGGAACTTGCCCAGAACATGATACGCCTGGAAAAACATAAAACAATAAATCAATGGAGGTGAAAAGGAGTCTAATGTTGCTTTCAAGTAACAGATTATCAACACTAAGCCAGTTGTTTTAGTGCTACCAACTGAGAGAGAGCATGCTGCAGTTTAGCATGCAGACCCTCACGGTAAGAATATCAGTGTTTACCTATATCACATATACTTGTCAATAACCATTGATACTACATAGCTAATTCACTGCAACGGAAATGCTCATAGGATTAAATGTATCAACTGTGCCTGTAGGTCTATATAGGTATATACACATAAATTATTCGCAGTGTTAAAAGTTATTTTGACATGGACTTGTTTTGATAATCTTGTAAATGATTCTTTTGAATCTGAATCAGAGAAAGAGAGTGTTAAAATGGTCAAAGAAACTTAATTAAGCATTTGCTGTTCGAACTGCATGACATTTGCAAAAAGCATGACATATTTAACAAAGGTGGCCAGTAATATTCACTTTAAAAGGCAAGACAATCAGACGCTTATTGTTTCCACTCAGTGAAATCTTAAGAAGTGCAGAAGTCAGAAAAACACCTTTGTTCATCATTCTAGAAGACGTCAACATGCCACGCTTTGGGGAAAATGACTACAAGCATGCTTCCTTTATGACCTCGCAGCATGATCAACGTCCATGGAAACACTATTTGGCACTTATGGGGATGTTTTCGGCAACACAGTCAAGTTATAGACTGTCCCTGTAGTCGTCAGCCACAGTAACAGCCACAGTTTTCCTCTGGCTCGTCCAGGCCATAGGAAAACTTGAAAGGGGAAGTGTACACGAAAAAACACATAATCCCTTAAGTGAAACAAAATGGGAATTGTATATTTATATACTTATCCTATCTCATGGTATGCGCCTCTTTCTTCTTCGACCATGTGTGGAAACGTGCTATAGCTAAGTTGACTCGAATCTTTCTGGCCTCTAACCACCTGACCGCTGCCCCCACTCCGATATCGGCACCTGTCAATCATCTCTATAAGCGTGCAGATCGTCCTGGTTGATCACATGACGTCCTGTGCCTCTCATTCTCGTCTTGGAGCTTCCAGTAATCTGAGATGTGGGGCAGGTCGGGTGGGCATTCGCGTGAGATAGCATAAGTATATAAATATACAATTTATAGTTAAAATTTCCAAATTTTTAAACTTATCCTATCTCACGGTATGCATTATCACACGGTTGGCAGGTGGGCCGCAGATTACCCTGTCTGTTCTACAACCGTGAGGACGCATAGCACAAGAAGGCCAGAAGAAAGCACCAACTCCCGATATGCTCCAACTCCAACTTGTGATGGGTTGCTTCAGATAACCCCTTGGCTTAAACAGCACAAAACTCTAGGGAGTGGTCGCTCGCGAATTAATGTGGTTTTCAGCCGCAACTTTTGACAAGCAAAAGGACGCAGTTTGGCAAGTAGGCCCCGCCACCCCGCGATTTATCAGGTGACCCCAGTATTCTGGCCAGTCCCTGCTTCGAAACTACCCCCCACAGACACACGCTGGAAGGCAGTGAAAGAGGGAATAGCCCAGTTGCTCAACGAGTTTAACGTTCAGTACCAATCTCCCCAACTTACCAAAGGTGAGAAAGGACTTAGGAGCAGAATGCTTCGAGAACCATGTAGGCAATCGGAAATCAACACTTCACTGACGTAATTGCTCAGAGAGTAGAGGTCAGTAAGCGGAGTGTCGAACATCTCTGCATGTAGCACAAGACTGGCCTCACAGTCTATCAAGTCATAACTTATGACAGTGCAGACACGCCCTAATTCCATAGGTGAGAACTAAACCCAAGAGAAAAAAAGTACCAAGATATGGATTACATTTATATCTTTTATTATGTACAGAGCAAAACCGACCAAAGAAGTATTGCTTTATCTGCGAAACACGGGTTGATGACAACTGCTGTGCTGGGACCAAAGGACCAAACTGATGCAGACCTTCCACATCTGTATTCGAGAGATCCCGAAGGATTGTGCGAGGCAAAGACGGTATCCGACTTCCAAAAACAAACCTCCATGATGGACTGGATGGAACATTTCCTATGAAGCGCCATGGTGGAAGCCAGAGCCCAGGTCTCATAAGGGTTCGGCGTCGTAGGTGGAGGAATGTCTGCAAAGGCATATGCACGCAGGATCGTAGATTTCATCCAAAACGCCAAGGTAGTACAGGAGACTTCCGAGGCGGAGGCAGTGGATAACGGGATGAATAGTCTCTTGCGCAACCTGCAGCAGTCCTGAGAGGCAGCTAGGTAAATCCATAATGCTTGAACCGGGCGTAAGGAAAGATCTTCAGTGTCATCTGGACCCAGGACAGTAGACAGCAATCAGATCGACAGATCGTGAAAGTGCGATCCGTCTGTCCTGGCAATTGATTTTTGGCAAGAAAATCCAATCGCAAACAAAGGAACACCTTAGCATGTCTAGACCTTTCAAATCTCACCCAAGAGACGTCAAGCGTGTGCAACTCGGAAATACGGGCAGTTGTCGCTAAGGCCAACAGAACAAAGATCTTGAAAGTGACATGATCAAAATCCTTCTCCTCTAAGGGCTCATAATCTGCTGATGAAAGGTGATTGAGTACAACGGAAAGATCCAAAAGGTGGAGGCCGGAACTTCTGGGACTGATCAGCACGTTTGTAAGATCTGAGGAGAGACTGGAGCTCAGGGACAGTGGATACCCTCGCACGCAATAACTGTGTTTAGGGCAGTCAGGTAGGTAGGCAGCATAGAACCTTTAAGCTTGTTAGAGGTTCGAAGATGCTGAAGATATTCTGCCACCATCTGTGGTGATGCCATAGTGGGTGATGTTATGACCTTCATCCTGCAATACGCTTCAAAATATGTTCTTACACTTATCATCATAAAGTGACCTAGTGGAGGTACGGCCCGCAGTAATGGCAGTAGCAACACCCTTCCAATATCCCTTAGCCGTTAGTGATTTATGTAAATGCGCCAAACGTGAAGATGGAGTGTGAGCGGAGACCAATGTTGGAATGTGGATGAACGAGTAGATCTTGAAGATCTATGAACCAACTCCTGGCTGGCCAATAAGGTGGGACCAAAAGCAGTGTCATCCGCTGAGTCGTGTGCAGTTTCAGGAGTAGGCGTGGAAGAAAGGCCAATGGCAGAAATGCGTATGCATCCCATGAGATGGCTAGAACGTAGTGGTCCCAAGCCAGAGGGTCCGGAATTGGAGATACGAACAGCGGCAGCTGATGGTTGAAACGAGTGGCGAATAGATCCACTGTCGGATTCGTCAACGGAAGGCAAACGGTCTGGAACACTTGAGGGTGTAATTTCCACTCTGTCAAGGATGGACGATTCACCCGGGACAGAGAGTCTCTGATGACATTCTTCACCCCTGGAATATGATTGGCTTGTACTGAGATGTTGAGGGTGTCTATCAAGTCGAAGAACTACTGTGTCCATTGTTAGAAGTTGCGGAGACCCCGTTGACCCCATCCGATTGATGCTGCTGCATTGTCCGAACGGACCATGAGAGACAATGATCGTAGAATCGCTTGCCAGTGATTGATCGCAAGAATCACCACCCTGAGCTCTAACACGTTGATGTGGCAAGCGTGATCTGCGAAACCACTGCCTGGCCACTTGCTGATCTAGGTGAGCCCCCCAGCCGTGTAGAGAGGCGTCTACATACAGGTAGTGAGAAGGGATGAACGGCCTTCACGGAACGGAAAGCAAACTCTGCCGCAAACATTCAAATTTTCCATCCACCACAAGAGAAGGGGGTGGAGCTCCGGAGCCAGAGAGATCAGAGCAAGCGGGTTGCCCACTCTGATGTGAGGAGCCAGAAATAGTTATAAAGGCCGGAGTTGCAATTGACCTCGACGCGTCAACGCCTGAGCTGACGTCAACAGGCTCAGTAGCTCCTGCCATTGACGAAGTGTCCTGGGTTGTGACAACGCAAGGGGAACCAGGCGCTGTATCTTGCAGAAGCGATCCCTCGGAACAAACAGTTTGTTGACAGTGTTGAACACTGCACCGATAAATTGCAGACAGCGCGTATGGACTAGTTCCGACTTCTGCAAGTTGACCAACCAGACTAACTGGCAAAGTAGCTTCATCGTGTACTGCATTTGTCGAAGTAGAAGGCCACGATTGGACTGGGCCTGGATGCAGTCGTCGATGTTAGCTTAAAAATATCCCTTGCGATGTAGGAAACTGGTTATAGGCATCATCACCTATGTAAACAGCCATGTGGCCGAAGAAATTCCAAACGGGAGAACACGCCACTGATAGTGGGTGCCCTCGAAGACAAACCGAAGGAACTTGCGATGAGCCGGAAAAATGGGGATGTGAAGGTACGCATCCTCGAGGTCGAGACTGTCCATGTAGTCTCCCGGCTTTATGATCATTTTGAGAAAAGCCACCGACACCATACTGAAGTGAGGCGGAGAAACATTTTGTTGAAAACCTTCATATTGAAAATTAGTCTCAACTTAGTCTCTTTCTTTGGCACCAGAAAGATTGGAGAATAGAACCCCGGGTGGGTCGGAGCCAGGCCCAGGGACTCGATCGCAAGTTTCTGGAGGAGAGTGTCGATCGAGGAGCATAGAACAGCCATCTGGGCTGTGCTCCGGCAGCAAAGTTAGAGTAGGATTGCCGATAACAGGCAGTTGGAACCCCCTTGAAAGTGTGGAAAGGACGCCGTTGCCGCAAGCAATTCTCGACTTGTAATCGTTGGAATTTCAACAACTCCACTGACACCTGTAAATGGGCGTCCTGCCCCACTCTAGTGGCAACGTCTCTGATAGCTCCATTGAAGAGAGACTTGCCCGACCATGGTTGGCAAAGGAAATCAGTTCGAAATCTATCCTCCCATGAGGACAAATGAAGGGGCCCCCTTCGCCACATCGCCGTGATGTAGGAGAAGAAATGGGCCAACTGATCCAGAATGGTCTGAAATTGCTATTGTAATAACACCATCGACGCCCGAATATACGCCTGTTGATGAGAAGTCTCATGGGAAACAGACATGGCAACTGCTTCAGTAGTCGTTAAGACCATATTGAGGGGAGCCATAATCTTCCTGATGGCAACATCCAAATGCAGTATCCTCGATCCTCCACCAAGAATGGTGAGTAAGCTCACTGTTTCGATCCCAACAACACAATATCATCATCCACCGGAGGGGAGACAATAATCGAACAAAAACGAAGCACATGGGAGGACGCTAAACTAAAGCGAGGGGCTGCAAAACCATCCTTCACCTTCCTCAGGTTGTCAAACGCCTCATCCAGAAAAGCAGCCAGTTGAGAGATGCAAGGACACAGCGGAAACGTGATGGAGTCAAAATCACCTGTCTTCATGTCAAAAACAAGACAACCAGTCTGAAGGCGAACTACTACGCTGAAGACGTAAACTATCCACACCAACAACTGAGGCGTGTCCACCGCGTCGATACTAACATCCGAAGATGAAGTACCATCTGAGGTGAGACAAGGTGTAACCGAATGCTGTACTTCCTCCACATGTTGAACTGGGGCAGTCGGGTGACCAGATGGATGAGTAGGCGCAGAAGGCTCTGGAGCCTGCTGACGCAAAGTCGAAGCAACAGCCTGCACAATGGCATCAAAGTCAATATGTTGCGAAGCAGAAACATCAGATGCCGGGTTCCATGGAACCGGTAAAATAGGCCTCGATGTACAATCCAAAGTAGGTGGTAAAAAGGAACCATGGGCAGGCATGGAAGGGTGCTGTGAAACTTCACCAAAAGAAGTCAAACTCCCTGTAGATTGAGGCAAATTCCCATGTTGAAAAGCCGAATGTGAAGCATGCGACCCAAACGCCGCTGTAGGTGGTAACTGAGAACCCACTGAACTAATTTCAAGAGAGACAACAGTGGAGTTCATCGAAAAAGGCGCTTAAGAAACAAGTGGTGTAGTAAGGGTCGCACTCGGGACACACAGGACACCAGGAACAAGCGTTGAATAAGATACAAGCGCTGACGTATTGAGGGCAAGGGCTGCACTGAGTGTACAAGGAACCAACGCTGATCCCAGAACAGTTGTAGAAAGCATCGAACCAAGAGCGCTAGAAGTAAGCGCTGAATCAGAAAGAGACGGCCCTATGAACGAAAGCGCTGAACTGGAACCAAGCGGCGCTCTGAATGAAAGCGCTGAACTGGAATCTAGCAGCACTCTAAATGACAGCGCTGAACTGGGGATCAAGCGGCACTCTGAATGAGAGCACTGAACTGGGATCAAATGCCCCTCTGGAGGCAAACGACACATTGGAATAAAGTGGTGGTACATGACCAAAAGGTACAGTATTTAGGATGGAAGTAGGAAAAAAACACACTAGAAGTCATCGGCAAAGTCGGAGGAATCACAGGAGGATGAGAAAGCGCCAACCCAGTATGATCCACTGTACCAGAAGAAAGCGTCACACTCGACACAAGGGTTGCATGGGTAACAGACGTAGATGCAACCACCGAGGTGGAAAGCGCCGAACTGACAGCAAGCGACGCTTGGGAGAATATGTCGGGTAACACACCAAGCGCCACACTAGAAACAACCATCGAAGGAACATCAGCATGCTGGGGCACAGTAACTACAGATGAGGGACGGGACTGAACAACAGTTGAAGAAAGCAATACCACCCTAGGTAGTGATGACTCTTCTGCAGTGACAGGGCTAGACGTATGCGGACGGAAGAACCAGTCTTCATTTGGAGACGGGGATTTAGAACGTCTAACCGCTATTTTCTTACACCGGTGCGTCTTCGATCGTTTAGATGAAGAGGGACCCTCAGATGGTCTACAACGGTCCCTGTCTGACATGCGTCTCAAAGCTACCCGACGATATTCCGAGAATGCATCGTCGTCAAGATCAGCACAAATAGTGCAGCGATGAGACCAATCACAGCGGCCTACACAGTCCACACAAAGTGCATGCGGATCTGTCGCCGTGAAATTGCTGTTACACTTGTCAATATTTACGCTTCTTGGAAACATTCCTGTTAGATTTACCCATGGTACTTTATTGACCATCACAATTGCCGAGCTAACACACGTCCACACGGTGTGGCGACAAGAAAGAGAATGACAGGCACAGGACGATCTGCACCCTTATAGGGATGATTGACAGGTGCCGATATCGGAGTGGGGGCAGCGGTCAGGTGGTTAGAGGCCAGAAAGATTCGAGTCAACTTAGCTATAGCACGTTTCCACACATGGTCGAAGAAGAAGAAGCGAGGTGCATACCGTGAGATGGGATAAGTTTAAAAATATAGAGTTTAATGGCGTCATGTATTCGTTTTAAAGTTGGGCACCATTGACGTCATTTGCAAGGGACATAAGCCATGGTGTGTTTATTGTGGACATAGAACTCTCGGTAAATGTGAAACATATGAATCGATATAATTGAACGAGTTAATTAGTTACTTCTGAAATATGTACTGTTTTGGCCATGAGACTGCTTAACAAACATTTTTACGCAGAAAATGTTAATTTTCCTGTAAACTTGCCCTTTAAGATGGATTCAAACCATTCACCTCCAACCCTTACAGTCTGTACCATGCCACAGAGGTGTATCATGCCTGCCAACAAATGGTACAGATACGAGAACAGTTTCTTGACGTCTGCGTTACCTGTGCAAGATGGCAGATGGCAAATTCTGACGCCAGACTGTTGACGCTTAAGTCTCCAGTGGAGCAGACAACACTTGCTGTGGGGAGCATGTGACATGAGGAGAGTTCTCGTCTCTGTCACGTTTCACAATGTGAATGTGTTACCTTGACTGACAAGATCACGTCATTTGTCACCCGATGGACACATAAATGATGAAATGGAGCCACATTTGTGACATGATCCGAATCCTCCAACAATGCTGCAGGAACTGGAATGGAATTTCAGCAACGTCAAGTAGCCTCGATCAGCTGAAGTAGCCAGGCCTGCATCAATGCACAAGGTGGACGCACTCGTTACTGACCACGTGACCTTGCTTGTGAGCCCCCTTTTGTCTTGTGCATGTGCCAGGTACACTGTTCTTCTGTTGAATGTTGCCATAACTTGAAACAGTTGTGTTTCCATGTCATAAGAAAATATTTGCGGTAGTAAAAGTTTAATGCTGATTATGTTTGTTGTATGAGTGTCACACTAACTGTTGCCTTTGCGTATATTCATTAATGAGTAAAAAATTTATCAGAATATCCTGATACTTTTTGGTCAGTACATATAAATTATTTTCAGCAATGTCAGTTATGTCTGGTTCTTCAGTCTACTGAAATGTAAGACATCGTAAAGTGTAATCTCACCCTTCTAAACCCCGCTTCTCTGAGTCTTTCACCAAGAACCTCTCCTATTCCTGGTAGGGAAGTTGCGAGCTTATCTCCCATTGGCTCTGACATAAAGTCCCGGTTTTTTAGTTTCGGACGACATCCTCTCATCAGACTTTTACTGGAAAAAAATAATTATTTGTTTTCTTGTCATTCCTTATTAAAAATTGAAATAATAACCTTCACATTCTTTTCACAAGACATGTTACATTTGATACTATCTATGCTAGTGAGGAATATCTTTTCATTGTTACGAAATGCATTGTTACGTCTTGGAATTGATATTGTGCTGATGCTTGTGGTTAGTATGCCACAGTGAAATGTCTGACCAGCTGATCCACACTCTTGGATCAGACCAAACCTGTGACCAGCTGATCCATTGATATTCTGACCAAAGATCCACACTGTTGGGGTGTGATGCCACAGTGAACCATGTCTGACCAGCTGATCCACACTGTCGGGATCCACACGTGTGTGCGATACCACAGTGAACCATGTCTGACCAGCTGATCCACACTGTCGGGGTGTGATGCCACAGTGGACAGTGGACCAGCTGATCCACACCCAGTGAACTGATCTGACCAGCTGATCCACACTGTCGGGGTGTGATGCCACAGTGAACCATGTCTGACCAGCTGATCCACACTGTCGGGGTGTGATGCCACAGTGAACCATGTCTGACCAGCTGATCCACACTGTCGGGGTGTGTACATGTCTGACCAGCTCCACAGTGGACCATCCACACTGTCGGGGTGTGATACCACAGTGACCATCCACACTCTCGCTGATCCACACTGTCGGGGTGTAATTCCACAGGGTGCGATGCCACAGTGAACCATGTCTGACCAGCTGATCCACACTGTCGGGGTGCGATACTACAGTGAACCACGTATGACCAGCTGATCCATGAAGTCCCCTCTTACTACTACAACCAACTCGGGTTCTAACACCAGAATCCTTGAAAGGTAAAATATTATCGGATACAACACTCAGCATCAGTCGCCCTACACCTTGACAAGTGAGTAGCCGGTCTCTCATAGTCCCTAAACCATATTATTTTCCCTAAAGTTCAGCCCACTCAATAATGCAAAAGCCCAATATAAAGCAAGTCTTGATTAACCGCAGCGTCAGAATCTCCCAGCTTACTGGGGCTTCTTTTCGGTTATGTGTTTCTTTCAAAGTAATGTTTTCAGAGATTAAGCCTTAGTTTTTTGTTTTCTGGAAGGATTGATTTTCAACAGAAAACTCCATTTTGGTTTTGGAAAACATGGGGATAATTATCATCTTCCAAGCACTTTTGGGAACAGACCATCCCACAACAAGAATATCAAATTCTAAGCATTGCTAATCGTGCTAATATAGACAATGATCCTGTGTCATTCTTCAATATACTCTAAAATACCCTTTTCATAATTTAGAATACTAAAAAGTGAATTTCGATGCTGTGATATTTCTGTAGATAAACTTGAGGTATGTGTTAGATGATATGGTAGATGTATGTTTTTGTTGTAGCTGTCCACATTACGTGCTCCTGGACATATACTCTTAAAAAAAGTAGGGGAACTTCATTTTTCATTTACGCTTGGTAAAAGTGACAGACCGGAGTAACCTTCAGTAACCCATGCTTGTCGTAAAAGGCGACTAACGGGATCGGGTGGCCAGGCTCGCTGACTTGGTTGACATCGTATCCCAATTGCGCAGATCGATGCTCGCTCATTATTATCATATCAATGATAATCATGAATGTTCCCTCTGACCATAGTTGTTTGTACAGTAAGCGCTCTTGAAAGATGATTGGTGTATGACGTGAAATTTGCATGTGTACGATTTTCAAACAAAAACTAGAAACACTAACTGTGTGATTCAAGATGATTGTTAAAATTAATGGTCTACAGTTGGGCTCTCACGAGCACTCGGGTACTCGCATTCTCTTCCCACAGAGGTTACTTGTCACATCTTCCTACAAGATATGACAAGTAACCTCTGTGGGAAGAGAATGGGGTACTCGGGGCAGTCCGACATTGAATGGACTCGCAGGGGAGATAACTCTAAACGTCTCACGCAATCAAGATGGATGATCTTGAGATAAAATCCAATGTCTGACGCATTTTTATCTTGATTTAGTGGCCAAAATCCCCAAAACGAAATCCCGTCTTTGTGGTGATTCCTTTAGTTACGCAGGTAGTGGAACAAGTTCAATGCGCACGCATTTGTCCTGTAAGCACCCGCAAATAAGCACTGTAGACAGAAAACCAGATCAACAAGCAACGCTGGGGCAGTTTGGTAATTTTGTTAGCAAAAGTCGCAAGCCTGTTGACAGGAAATGTATGAAGGTATTACGCAAAAAGCAATGCTTATGGGCGTTAAGGATATGCAACCATTAAACCTTGTTAAAGGGGATGGGTTCAGGGATTTCAGTGAAGCATTGAACCCAAATTACCCCATGTACCGCGATTACCTCAGACCCGTGTGTCCATCAGTAACCGCGTCGTAAAGGCGACTATGCTTGTCGTACGACTAACGGGATCGGGTGGTCAGACTCGCTGACTACACTCGGTTCCCATGAATGTGGTCACTGGATGTCTGGTCCAGATTATTTACAGACCGCCGCCATATAGCTGGAATATTGCCGAGAGAACATAATGTCAGTACTAATGTCAAAAAAATGGTACCTGCCGTTGCCCTAACTAAGGACATGTGGACAAGCGTAGCCACTCACGGCTATATTACTGTCACTGCCCACTATAGTCCGTTTAAATTGGGTTTAGATGAGAACGATGAATTTGCAAATATCTCGAAATAGTGGTAAGTCAACAAAACATAAATAAGGCACATGGTCCTAAAACCTCTCTACCCAACAGGATCTGAAATCTGACGTTTTTTGATCGATCACGGAAAAAGTTGTTTAAGAAACCATCATGTAATATTGTGCTATTTTCACGTTTCACACCGAGGGGTGACAAACGGCTGATGGAACAGCACCAGCACACATTCCTGAATGTGCACTCAGCACAGCCAGGTGAGATGACCCCAGTCGTTCTTACCCAGCGTATTTCAGTGTTAAATATTCGTCAATTAACACATACATACGCATTCAACCGAGACCTAACTCCTGAAATAGTTAAAGTTTTAATCACAATAAATACCATTGACGTGCGTGATCTCCATTCAGCAGAGTTCCGGAAGAAGAAATACAGTGTAGTGTTATTCAATAAATGCTTAGTCTTTAGTTTGAAACCAAAACGTTTCACTATAAGAAATCTCAAATTTACATGAATCCAGTTTTACATATTTTATTCTTAAGTTCCATAGTCGATTCATCTTTACAAGATATCCAATGCAGCACCAATCAATGAATGCTTTGTCTAAATATCTTCCAGCTTGCTCACGTATTTTGCCGCAATTTAACCATGATTAAAATTAATTGATTGTAGATGCAAGAACACAACTCCAAAACTCGCATCGACAGGGATTTATTAAAGTTACGATTTTCGGCAGTCGTTGACAAGTCATTGGCTCATTATCGTTGACATGACTCGGTCCATCGATGAGGTTTAAGAAACTAAAAGAAACAAAATGATTCTTTTAGCTAATACATTAATTACAGCATTTAAATAAAACTTTTCTGAATTTTCAAATATAGGATTTCATGATTATCAAATATAGCTATTCAAAATTGTTAGGTAAAACGTTTGAAGATTCAATAGCAGCTTTCTATCAAAATATACAATAATAATGGTCAAAATATTCCAAATGATAACTCCAACAACATATACTATTCAAATGTCATATAAAGTTATACAATGTAAGATTAAAAGTACTCACATTTGTGTTGCAATACAGAGAGGTTTGCAGACAGCCAAGTGACCATGTGGATAGCATAGTGAATCAGCCTTTGCATGAAGATTTTGTGCAAGGGTTAGGTCATGTGACCATCAATAATGAAAGTGAGGCTATATATTTACTGATTAAATTTACAAAAGTTTTTGCTATTACGCTGGATTTGAACCCTAGCACTTTGGATCACAAGTCTAATTCGTTAACCACTAGGCCACCGTACAAGACACTCATTCATGCCTGGTTTAACAATGCTGAACATTACTGAATATAACATAACTTGTAGTTAGCATTAACATTGATTATGTGGCTTATCGTCTAGGTGAATGTTTAAAAGTTGCTAATAGGTGAGGTGAGGTGAAATTGGGTTTAACGTCGTGCTTGAGAATATTTCGCTCATATGACGAAAGTAACTAATATGTCATAACTGCAACGACATATTAATATTAGATAATCTTAAAAGCACAGTCAAACTTATAACCAAGAGGAAAGAGAAGTATATTAATTGGCTTCTACGTCATCATATTACAGCATTTACAGGCGTAATAAGGTATCACCGGTCCAGCTCATGAATATTAATCACATTATTGATCGCGTAGTAACTGGGTCACAGTGATACTTACGCTGCCTTCACATGCTGTTTGCAATAATAAAAGGGTGACATTGAATATCAATTGCTTTATTCAAGAACGTTTAGATTCATGTTGCATTATTCGTAGTTGGAACAGTCACGTGTATGCTTGCATGTTGGTTTTAGATAAGCATCCAAATTGTCGGGTAGTCGGGTCCGAGTCAGGTTTGACCTCTCCAGTACTCGAGTCCCAAATTTTGGACTCGAGAGAGCCCTAGTCCACAGTGATTGATCGACCTTCTGGAAAACCGTCAAAATCAAGAATGACACCCCATGCACGTGTATGGGGCTACTGTGTTGTGCACGTGCATCCCATGCGTTGAGAATAGGGATGGTGATAAAGAGACATGGTGGTTCGTTCATAAGGTGTCTGTCTTGGAAAAGTTTATTAACGCTTATACTTCCTATCCAACTTGAAAGTTCAGGTTCCGTTTCATTTTTTAAGCGTGTACTTGGGAGAACGGATTGTAATTTCAGACGTGTTGGCCTGTTGATGGTTTAGTTTCATCATCCGTGCAAATATCACCTTTCTATATAAGTGATATAACTGCAACTTTAAAAACATGTTCATCTGGTTTTTAATAACAAGGTGAAGATTACTGGTATTGGCTCATATTCTTTCTTAGTCAGCCCCATAAGCAGGGGCATATATCCCAGATCATATCCAATAGTCCATGATTACTTCCAGGGTGGCTTCTACAAAATAACGACATTTTACTGTCTCGGATTGACAGGCTAGCGTTCATTTCTGTCCCAGGCAATATAACAGATACAAAAGTGCATGTATCATATATTCTTCGTCATACAGTGTATAGTGCTCTTTGATCAGGACCACCTGGATTTGTCATTCACTAAAATTTCTACCCGAATGATTTTGATCCAATACTATTAATTTGAATTTTGAATCAGAACATTATCATAATATTATCGCATTTTTCCTCTCCCATGTCTGTTGACATTTGAAAGATTTCGCACATAATTTTCAACTTTCGATATCGTTGAAGGAGACAAGTCGACTGAAAGGTGATAGATATACCAGGTATGACCGAGTGGTCAGCTCCTGATAACGTTTAGGGTTAGGGAAATGCGCAACAGTGGAGCAAAACAAGGAAATATTCACCGGACTCGTGATTTGTTAGGTTGTTGAATCATCAGTGGGTGGTGATGTCGCAAACAATACAGTTTGACTGGCTTCCGGACTACTGCGAAAATGACGAGCCTGCGATCATGCCATATCATTTTGTCAAATCGTTGGAAGAAAGAGGAGATTATGTATCATTAAGCAATAACTTAAACGGACTTTCTGAAAAATACATGTTCCTCGCCCTAACTGATTGCTTGTTGTCGTATTAGCATATCTTACCTTTTACTTGGTTTGATGGCCACAGACGCAGATACACACATCCGGGTGCTTGGGTAATTTAGGAAGGCTTTGCGCAAGCTCAAAAATAGCTCAGGTGTCAGATTTCAAGTGATTGTGCTATACGGAGACAATGTTCAGCCAACGTTCAGTCACGTGTTCTGTGGGGTGTCCTTGAAATAAAACCCAGTCATCAGTGCATTGAAGAAGATATTTTATCGTGCTACTGTACCACACATAATATGATCTGACAAAGGTTTCGATTTGGATAATAAGAAAGTAAGATCCTTCTTGAAAAGATGAAATGTCTCTTATTATGTTACACGAAAAGAAACCGCCATATGCCGAGACAGTGATTAGAACTGTGAAGGTAGCTATGTACAGATATTTCACTTACAAGCCGACGTATCATTATATGGATGTACTGCAGGACCTCGTAAAAGACTATAACACCCCCTTCTGATATTAATAAAAACAAACGAAGCTTTCGTATGGGAAGAACAATACACTAAACGCCAAAAAGAAACGTTACCTCTACACATTTATGAATTACTTAAAAACTATCAAACATATGTTAGAAGGTATTAGTTTACAAGAAAGCTTAACAGCACAGCTTTATGCAAATCACGAAAAGAATTCTCAAATGCATTTATATTTAGGTGAAATGCATCCTTTTCATCCTTTTTTTGTCCTATTTTCGTCCGTGCCGAAATAAACCAATAACAGTGATTTAGATGTCCAAAAGGAGGGTTGAAATAGAATTCTGGTTTGAGACAACGATAAACCATTAAAGTCACCATTATTCAACTATTAAAGCAAGAAACAGATGTTGTAGAGTGTGTAATATTGTAAAGTAACCATTCCTATGATTTCAGTCTTTTAAAACATTTTCTGCTTATTTGCATTGGTGAAAACAAGTGAAACGTGTCTTTGATATTGTGAAAAAAATGTTTAGGAACATCTAAAATTATCTTTGTTGACATTTTTGCTTGCAAAGTAACATTTTTCCTTTTTCTGTTTACACATAGCAATATCAATCGCCAAAACGCAGCAATATTCAAGCAGTATTTGCATTCATTTTACATGTAGAATGATTCTATAGGGTATAAAGAGAGCCTAGAATGCATGCTATGATACACAAGTACGGACCGCCTCCATGGTGTAGTGGTTAGAGCGTCCGCCCGGAGAGCGGAAGGTCGCGGGTTCAATCCCCGACCGCGTCATACCAAAAGACGTTAAAATATGGTACTTGTTGGTCAATATAGAACAAATTTTATGGATAACAACTTCTTTTTATTCGTGAGTGCGACGTTTCGATACAGATTCTTGTACCGTTGTCAAGCACAATGGAACATGAAGACTGACTGACTGACTGAGTTTGGTTTTACACCGCTTTTAGCAATATTCCAGCAACATCACGGCGGGGGACACAAGAAATGGGCTTCACACATTGTACCCATGTGGGGATTCGAACCCGGGTCTTCGGCGTGACGAGCCAACGCTTTAACCACTAGGCTACCCCATCGCCCCGGAACATGAAGAAGGGGGAAGTATATATATACTGGATGTAACAATGTAACAAAGAAAACAACATAATTAACATAATTGGCTAGGCAGAAAGCTGATGAAGCCAGAGAGTAGACAAAGGACAGGCGTTGAAGCCAATGATGTACAAATAATAATGAGATGTTTATACAGCAGAGTTTATACAGTAGATTGGGCTTGGTGGATGAGTGCATCATTAGCGGATGGAATGAAGTATCCTTGGTCTCGGTTGATGGTGGGCTTTTGGCGTTTGATGTGGATGGCTTCGGTGAGCTTGCGTTTAGTGAAGTCTGTTTGTTTGTTAGAGAGAATGGTGATGTCAGACCACTCATCGAAACGTCGCACTCACGAATAAAAAGAAGTTGTTATCCACAAAGTTTGTTCTATATTGTACTTCCCAACTTCTAAAATGCCACTCAAAGAAGTTACTTGTTGGTCCCTGCCTGGCGCTCGGCATTAATGGATACAACAAGGACTGGTCGGCTCGGAGTCAGTATAATGTGTCTGAGTGGGGTATTCATGCTTCACTGCGGCATGGTATCTCAGTGGGCTAGCACTATAAAACCAGCTTCAGTCTGGGCTAGAACAAGCAGCCGCACATACACATACACACGCATGCACGTCGTCATATGAGCGAAATATTCTCAAGCACGACGTTAAACCCAATTTCACCCCACCTCATCTCATACACAAGTACGAGAAATATGCCACTATTAATAGCTGAAGAGAGAGAAAGAGCCATGGTGCAGATGTTGTCGACATACAATGCTGTTGTCAACCCCCTCGGATGCCATCGTATCACGGTTATAAGACTTATTCAGGGCTTCAGACAGACTGGGGTCCCAGTAGACAGAGCAAGAAGTGGACGTCCACGCACCACAACGCCAGCTGAAGACAGGTACCTCTGTCATTAAGGAAGGAGGGTAACGTTTCTTTGGGCGTTTAGTGTATGTGAAACCACTGAAGAAATCTAATGATATGAAACAGACTAAGAAACAGTCACATACACCGCCGCCTCCTCTCCCATAAGGAGCGAGAGGTAAAAGGTTTTGCGAGTATTTGTGGGGACAAACTCTATACAGAAACATTGACTAAGAGAGACGAATATGAAGATCAAGGTCGAAGTGAGAGATGAATTGAGAGGAAATTTGCTGTCATAGATCGACTGACACTAGCCAAGCTATGTGAACTACTTCGGATATGGACCAGTTTTCAAGCCTATTCTGGAGAAGGTGAGAGTTATGGATCCCGCTACAGATCCCAATGAACTATCCACTAAAATCATCATGTGGATGAAACCTATTATGGAAGATATTCTCACTCATGTAGATCTGTCGAAGATCTGAAGATCTCGAGCGTGAAAAGTCAGATGAGGATGTTTCAGACGGTGAGCAATCATCTGTTAATGTGCATTGTTATGAGATGCAGTCAGATTCTATCGGAATATGAATTTGTTTCTTTTGACATAAAATGGATCTTGACAGTTAATATGTTTGTCTGTTTTTCATGTGTTATGATCGAGATGTCATAATTCGACATGAGTCAAATTCTAGAATGAGCCCTTGCGGTTATATGAAACATGTGAACTGGTACAAGTCCAAGGTTGATGCTGTCTCACCAAACCATAGTTTTAAGATGCCTTCCATATTCAACAACAACAAACATACAAACAACTCGTTTAATACATTTATTCAAGTATAAATCATTCAATAAATCGAGTACAAGTATTCTACACATATTTCCAACAACATATTGTATACAATAATACTGTGCCAGAACATCAGGCCAACACACACAAGATGTAGGTCAGCTCAGCTGCATTACACAATGTTTCTGCACACATGAACATTCGAAAGATATGTATACACACAAGAACAACGTTAGCAAAATTTAAGCCCTAAACATAAAAAAGTTGCTTAACAAACTATCGATCTATGTAAACATAACACCTCATTACAGAAACGATCATGAAGTCTTTCCACTTCAGGTGATGGGTGAAACCCCCAAACCTCAGAACCATAGACAAGAATTGGCAAAATTTTGACATCAAACATATGACATAACATATGAACTGGTACGTTATGAAAGTTATTGACTTTAGGCTTTAAGCACTGGATGACCTTAGTAGCTTGAGGGCTAAAGTGTTCTGAGCAATATACCACAAGTCAGAACTTGAGAAATGTACTCCCAGGTATGTATAAGTAGGTACAATATTTATTATTCGACCACTGAAAAAGAATTTTTCGTAAAGCTTAAGTCTGCCTTTCTTTCTAAACACAATAACTATTATCTAAGTTAACCAGCAGCTGCCATTTATCACAATAACTTGATAACATATCTAATCTCTTTTGGAGACCTTTAACTGCACTGTCCATTATTACTATATCATCTGCGAACAGAAGCATAAACAATGGCAGCATACCAATATTGATAGACCATTGATTATGCTGCCCTAGATGCTCAACTATGTCGTTGATGAAAAATGAAAAAGGGGAAGGGAGACAACTGGCAACCCTGACGAACTCCAAAGTAGCAATCAAAGAAGCGGGTACAACCATTCCCAACAAAATAACAGAAGATTTTATATTTTCATACTTGGAGAGGAACATAGAATCAGAATATCACTTGTTTCTTATAAGTTATTTATATAAATGTCCATTATGAGTCAAAGGCGGATTTTAAATCTATGAAGGCACAGTAAAGTCTACCTTTATGCAAAGACAAGTATTTATTTATTACAGTGTCTATGATAATATATATTGTTTAAAAACCTTTTCTGACCCAACCTGCTCTGGAGCTAAAGTACTTTCTTGAGTGGCCCAGTTTGCTAGCCTATTGTAAATAATCTTAGAAAATATCTTCCCCGACACGACACTTCATGATCAACAAGTGTAATTGATTTGTAATTACTGGACCATTAGGATCACCTTATATATATATATATATATATATATATATGAATATTGCCAAAACGTAAAATGGAAAACTCACATTGACAAAATGTACATGTATAATGTCTCAATTTTCACAATTTCTTTCGTGTATGGTATGGCAGGGCAGGCACCTTATATATCACAAGAAAGAACGACACCAGTCGTATAGACCTTCGAAGCAGGCCCGCGCAAGCCCGCGCTGGCCCGAGTGCATGTTACATATGCCCATCAGCCAGTTTATGAAGCTCTCCTCATTTTGGTCCAACAGGTACTGGCCCAGAACTTGTGTCGCCTGGAAAAACAATAAGCAATAAATTGTTGGAGGTGAGAGGTGAGTGAGTGAGTGAGTTAATATTTATCGTCACATCGGCAATATTTCAGCCATATCGTGACGAGAACAGGTTATAATTATATTTAAGATCAATAAGGTTAGAAATTAAAAACCTGTTGACGAAGAACAGTAAAACTACTAATGTATCACAGATATCAATTTAAAACTAGTAATTAAATCTAAAATATTGGACATATAAATGACAATACAATATAAAACAGGCTATAGATTGCAAACGACTGAAGGTAGATCACCATACTAGGGACCATGGGGACTTACAGTACATTTGCTTCCCGCATGGACCCTAGCTGGATTTACACCATCCCTTCAGCCGTTAGCAACGTAGACAAATCTAGCCATACATTTTAAAACACACATATTCTACGATTAAAAATAGTGGAGAGTTTTAATTTACTTTGAATGTTTGTGGACTTGCGTATCCTCTCAGGAGGACAATAATTTTACAGTACTTTAACCCCCTTTGAGGATACAGCCACTAACAATCTGAGTTACTAAATTAAACTTCCAATCATAAAATATTTATCTATTTACAAATCATTTAACAAATCTAATTCTTTTAAAAATGCAATAATTAAATGAGAACTTATATTATGAAAAAGATCCCTCATAATTCGTGATTTTAAATAGTTATCCCTTGTGATGGAATATTCAACACAGTCAAGCAAGACATGCTTGACCGTGATTCTTTCATCACAAGGAATGCGAAACGGAGGATCCTCACCTTTCAATAGGTATTCATGAGTATATCTTGTGTGGCCAATACGACATCGTCGCATGATGACCTCTTCATCTCTGGACTGACAACCCAGTAGGTACAACCAATATAGGGTTTTATTGCATGTAATCTATTGATACCTACTTGGGTGTCCCACTTCTTTTGCATCAGATCACGGATGTAAGTTCTAATGCTAGTTTTGTAATCAGAGTATGGAAGAAGAAGGTGGTGTCACAGATTTGTTGAGTGCTGCCTTGGCAGCAAGATCGGCCATTGTGTTCCCAGAAATGCCAACGTGGCTGGGCAACCAACAGAAGGTGATGTTGCATTGGCCAGTAGCAAGATCTTTATATAATTCGATTATTTCAATTAAAAGTGGATGTTTACAAGATAGATTTTTTTATAGCCTGAAGGCAAGAAAGAGAGTAAGAAAAGATTATATAATGTTTATGTTTAGGATGTCTTTGAATATATTTAAGAGCCGTTAATATGGCATTTGCTTCTGCTGTAAAAATAGAGCTGATATCTGGTATTCTAGAAGATATTGTTCTGGATCCAATGACCGCGTCACCGTCCTTGGACCCATCTGTAAATAAGGATTTGTATCTATTATATTTAATTGTTAATTGGTTATATTCTTGTGTATATTGTAATTCATTAGTTTCTTATTTCTTAAACTTTGTCAGAGTTAGGTCAACTTCAGGCCTCACCAGTTTCCAAGGAGGAGAAGAAAGAAGACGGGAAGGAGATATATTTTGCAGCTCAATGCCGGCAGCAGAAATGAATGGTTTTGATTCTGTGTCCAAGAGGCGGAACAAGAGAAAAAGTTTTTGTTGTACAGATCCTCATAAAGAGGATTGAAAACTCAGTTAAATGCAGGATTAGACTCGTAAGAATAGAGTTTTGTTATATACTGTAATGATAGTTTTATACGACGTTGGTTAAGGGATGGCTCATCTGCCTCAACATAGAGACTGTCAACAGGAGTTCTAAAGAACCCAAGACAAAGTCTTAGGCCTTGGTGGTGAACAGAATCAAGTAGTTTTAGGTTGCTGTTGCAGGTTCCACCATATACCACCATCTATTTACTCAATATATCTTTCCTTAAAATTAGTTAATAATAACATTACTGGATTAATTTATTATGTAATTTATTATTGCTTAATTACTTTACCCTCCGTGTATCGTTAGTGTACACATAGTACAGGGATGTAAAGAATGTCTTTATTTAACGGCTCTAGTGTTTAACAGGAGTGAAAAAAATTGTTGAAAATGTGATAACCCATTGTAGTTACTGGAGTGACACTGGCTAAATAGAAATGTAATGATTTTATTTTTATAACTCTTTTTCAGATATGCTCAATTCATTTTTTGGCTGGCCATCCAAGCAAACAAAATCCTGATCCAGTCTTAAATTTGGGATATCAAAGAAAGGTTAGTGTACTTTTAGTTTAATGTAATGTACAATATAGTCCTACTAGTGATGTATTAAACGTAAAGTTATTTTGACAATTATGTTATTAACTATTTATTACTGTTCATTGATGTAAATGTATAATAGCCTGTTATACTTTAACTTTCCTCTCCAGGTGACACAAGGGAGAAGGACCATTTTCCGACACCCTCTCTCTGATGTTTCTCGGACCCCAAGGAGCAATCAACTGACTGAGGAGTGCCATGCTGAAGCTGAACTGACAGATCAACCTGTATCTCAAGCTGAAGAGAAGGAAAAAGGAGAATGATGACTCCAGACCAAGTGATTGTGACTGTTGTAAACAGAAGTCTTGTTTTTTGTCTTCACAGACCTATGATAAAAGTTCCAAACAGAACTGTAGGAGTACAGGTTCATTTTAACAAGTCAGTAGATCACCATTATGCAACCCAGCACTACACGACCAAAACAAAGACTGTCTCTGTTCAGGTTAATTTTCCTGCCTTTTCTGCAGACAGTATTAAGACTAACACTGATTCTGTGTTTTACAGTGGACTTACTCTACAGGTGTTTCTGTCAATAATAACTTATCTTACATCTGTACTGCGGTCAAACATTAAGATGCCACTCTCAGATCAAACACTACTCACACTTATGAGACTTAGGCTTGGAATTCAGTTTCATGATCCCGGGAGAAGATTTTCAATTTCCACGCAATTAGCAAGTAAAATTTTTGGAATTTGTATCTCAATTTTAGCCAGAAAGCTAAACGATTGCATTGTTTGGCTCCCAAGAGATGTTATGAGATCTGCAATGCCAATGTCCTTCAAGACTACCTATCCACACACTACCTGCATTATTGACTGTACAGAAATGTTCTTGCAACGTCCATTTTCATTGAAGGTTAGAGCTCAAACCTACAGTGCATATAAAAGTCACAATACTGCCAAAATTCTTGTTGCGATTGCTCCCAATGGGTATATTATGTATGTTTCAAGATGCTATGGGGGTCGTGCAAGTGATGTGTATATCACCAAGAACTCGGGTTTTCTAAACTACTTGTTACCTGGTGATGAGGTAATGGCAGATAGAGGCTTTACAATAAGCAATGAACTTTTATGCTAGAAGAGTGAAACTGAACATTCCTGCTTTTATGAAGGGTCGTAAACAACTGAGTGCTACAGAGTGTATAGAAACACGAAGAATTGCATCTGTAAGAATACATGTAGAAATAGCAATTGCCAGATTGAAGTCTTACAGAATATTGAATCAGGTTCTACTTCTAAATTCTGTTCAAAAGTTGGATAAGATAGTCAAAGTGTGTGCAGTCCTGTGTAACCTCAGACCAGAACTCATCAAGGACAAAGACTGAGTAGTCATGTATGTTTCAGACATCTAGTAGGCTGCTTAAGCTTATGAGATGTATGTGATTTTGCAATGTGATATTTCACCAACAAGAATGATAAATTATAAATACATATTCTCATTGAATTGATGTTTAAATCATTAAACTGAATGTTCACCTCACCTTGATTTTTGTTATCATTGCTGTTTTATGTTTAAATACCAACCTATAGATATTCAATGAAATCAAACTTGTAAATCACCTTAACTCCTTAGACTGCCATATGCATGGCACCATATATACAGTGATAGAAACTACCAGTGGCAGATGGCCACCACTTTTGTCTTTGGGCCACTGATATTTTGGAGAAAACAATAGCAGTTAGTGATGACCAAAAGTGTTGGGTTTTTTTACAGATACATCACCACTTGGGCCACTAGGAAAATCTCACAAGTTTCTGTAACTGTATATATGGTCCCATGATATGTGTGACAACAATACTCCTGCTTCAGGGGGTTAAACATTTCATCTTAAGTGTGAGTAATTACATGAGATATTAATACTGATCATGTTCATTAAAAACAAAAACACATATTCATTTCTTACTGGTACATTGTATTTTATTATTCAACCTAAATATGTTAAACATTTCTTTTAAGTTACTAGCGTGTGAAATAGTATTTGACTTGAACTGTTGTTTTCTTCATAAAATATCAGCAATTCATAATACACAACTTTGATTTTATTACAATTCATTTGAGTGTCAGTGAGTGAAGGAAATGCACACATTTACAGGTTATATACAAATTCTTTTCAAACATCAACAGTAAGTCAATAACATAGTAGATACATCACATCAATTAGATAGATAGCAATTAATTGACTCAGCTCTAACAAAACAACAAACTTCGCATAGCTGTGTCATTTATGTGTTGATGCTGTTACAGTGTTATTTACTCTACACATGCTACTGTGACACACAGAACTGCTTGTATTCCTCACTCAACACGAACCGACCTGCCTTGAAGTCATCAACCAATCGGACCAGCATATGTTTAAAATAAAACGCTCTTAATCTAGACAGTGTATTGTCAACAAAGCTGGAATCATATGCAACATCAAGCAGGACTCTGTCATGTTCTTCTGGCCTCCACATAAGAAATGTGCACTGATGTTTTCCTGTACAGAACATACACATTTGCACCTGAGTGAAATATCCATTTCTCCCTTTTGAGTAAAGAACTAGTTCACTCTCAATGTTTCGAACATCACCTTTTCCTGAGTCAATCATTGCATGCACAGATGTTGTGGGACATTTTATTTCTAATATTGCAGAATCTTCAATGATTCCATCAGGACTAGCAGACAGAAATGGTTCATGTGTTGATATAACAGCTCCTGTACACATTACTTTCTTCCCAGAAATATCCTGATAATGAGCTCTTGCT